AGAGAGAGAGAGAGGGTTAGCCTGGGAGATAGAGACTCGGAGAGGGGAGCTGAGGGGAGAAATAAATGGATAGATTGAGTAGGTGGAGAAAGAAAAGAGAGAGCCAACCTCATGGATAAAGTAGCGCCCCGCTCACATGGCTCAAGTGCGCAGAGTGGTGTGTGTGCTGTTAGGTCCACATAGCCCCCTCTAGGGTGTGCGGATTCTGCTCGAAAAGCAGTGAAATTGGCAGAACCATACAAACCTTTTGGCGGGCAATTCCTCGAATGCTGCTCCATTTCTTTATCCACATACCAAACATGCATGAAACTTACCAGAAAAAGTACCGAATTCTGCTAATTTTTCTGCCGGCATTATCCACATATGCCTAGCCCCCTCCCCCTTCCCTCCCCCCTTCCCCCCCCCCTCCCCCCCCCACCCCCCCCACCCGCACTATTACAATCATTCACGAGGTTGGATTTCTCTGGCCAGGACTGCACATGTACAAAGGGATGCCAAAGGTGCGCCGACAAGCAGCTAAACTCTTGGACCCTCTGTTACTTCAGAGGGTTGTCCTTTGACCAATCTGACAGGAGTTTACTTCCAAGGGTTGTGGATTTCCTTAGACCACTCTGACAGGATGCACATTGTAGGGCCAGTCCGATCTAAAATCAATACACTAAACTTATTCTCACATGGTAGATCTCCATGGTAGATCTACAATCATGAATGTCATGTACATGACTCATGAGTGTGCACGTAACTCGTCGTTGGTCGTTACGAATACCAGGGGGCGGGATTTTCACGACTCCCTTCTTGATACAAAATTTATATCCACAACCCACTTGCACCGGGCGGGGGTGGGCTAGCTGTAGATCTGCGTAGTTCTGCCCTCTTTCATCTTGGTGAAACGTCCACATGTAAACAAAAAAATAAGAGTGCAGCGCATGCAGCCCACCAATGCGCGGACGTCGTTGGTCTACAAGTACAAGCATTGCGGCGCACGTGTCGACGCCCCTAGCGCCCTGTGATCCATGGATCCAACTCTCGAGCTAGCTACGGACCCTCCTTTGTGTGTTTTCATCCGTCAACCTCTCTGTTCCGCAGATTGTTGAAGAATTGATTCTAGCGAACGCATTCATTCTAGGTTTGATATACAAAAAATAGAATACGGTGTGAAGGTAAACAAGAGAAGAGTAAAGTCGAACGAAGGTTTCCCGGGAGGTTACATGCATCGGTAAGACTTACCTCCTTGCTCTCTCAGCCATTGATCTTCAAAATGTCCTCTCCTGTAGCAAATACTTCCAGCAGTCCGACAAGTAACTCCGGTATCGGCAGAAGGTCAAATAGCTCGGCAGTGAGCAATGGCACTTTGCAGAGTACTGCTCCTGGTCAGAGCACACAAAGCTCGCTGGGGCCTTCTTCCTCCTCGGGTCGCGAGTCGGGTCTTTATGATAGCAGCGATACGAACACAACGCAAAGCACCAACATCGATGGTTCCATTGCAGCGGCATCACTGCACAGTGAAAAGGCAGCAATGCCCAGCCTAGCTGAACAACCACCAACTGAAGCAGGCATGCCCAGTAAGCCAGCAGCAGCAGCACCACCACCGCCACCAAGCAAACCTAATGTTCTTGCTGGCGGCAAGGTACCGTGGACACCAGTAACGGTGACCTGCTGGTTTATGCTGGGCATCATACGCGGCACAACGGCCATCATGCTGGCGCTGGCGGGTGACGACATTCGTCCGACGGTCATTGTGATACTGCGCTCACCAGGTACGATAGCCTTGTTTGCACTGGTGATGATTGTCTGGAGCTACAACAGCCCGGCGCTGAAAGCCAACATGAAAGAGGTGCTATCCACACCCATGACCTACCCTAAGCTGATGGTGCTTGGCGTCATCCAGTCCGGTGGGCCGTTCCTGCTCTTTACGTACGGCCTGACGCACGTTCCCGGCTCATTCGGCGGTGCGTTCCTAGCGAGCGTGCCCGTGTGGACTGTTCTGGTGGATCAGACCCTGTTCAGAGCCCTCGGTGTAAGTATGAATGTTACTGTGTGCGATAGCACTGCTTACTGCTTACTCATAGTTGAAACACACTGCACTGTGGATTCAATTCTGAGCTTTGCGCAGAACTTTATGAGTACATCTGGGGCGTAGCAGCCAGTCCGGCTTCGGCCGGACCACTTTTTTTAACACAATGCCAAAAGTGTCCAGAATGCAGGATTTTGCACCCTAATTTCACCCCCACCCCTCCCCTTCGGGCCGGACCACCTCCAACAGCGGTGCTGTGCTAACATTACGCGCCTGTACACTCAGTACAATACTGTCGGGCGCCGAAGAACGGAGCGCCGAAGGAGCAGGCAAGGACTCGTCTTTCTCATTCCCCTAGCTCTTCTTTCATTCCCCTGGGTGGTTACCAACAGCCAGTGCTTGCCAGAGTATGTGGTGTGGTGTGTGTATGTGTCAAAAGTGAAGAGTGGAAAAAATGAGAAGTAGGGATTCACTGGCCAGAAAAATCCACTTCCGTCAGCTGTGGTGTAGACTAGGCTGAAACTGGTGGCCCGCGGTCAACTCATCAGCCTTGGAAGCTGTTGAATGATTATAATCTAGGGGTGTGCACCGGTAGTCGGGTACCCGTGGGGACCTCGGGTAGACAGGTACAGAATAGTACACGAAAACCCGAAGTCGCAGATGGCATCATGATTATGACATGTACGTGCTGACCGCTGGAACTCAGTTCCGGCATCGGTCCGCCTTGCTGCTTCACCACGTCAATTTCGTATCGCAATCCTAGATTGGCTAGGGTACCCCGTAAGGAGACCATAGGCCTGTGGGGACTGCCCTAGAGAAATATGAATAAATACTATACTATACTATGTACAGTGCACGTGTACAAATTCATGTAATACTCTGCATGACTGTCTACCCAGTGTGTAAGGGAAGGGGTGCATTGTGGTGTTACCATCAATATTCAACTTATTCTTTTGCTCACTGAGCAATACAATCTTTCCATTTTCTTTCTTCTGTTTTCTTTTACAATTTAATCCTCCCCACCCAATATCCCTTTGGTGCGTCCATGGAGCTATGAAGCCGAGACCTCTGGTCGGCGGAGCTTAATGGGCCCCATCACCACACTCCATCATTCACCCCAGTGTCTGGAGATATGTGGATTTTGTAGAAAAAAAAAAAAAAAAAAACCATGGAAACATTACCCAATCGGGTACCTGTGCCACCCGTGGAAAACTACCCGAACCCGATACCCGAAGAAAATGCTACCCGACTCAGCACTAATATAATCTCAGCACAAGTTGCTCACTACCATCGCTTCAGGGATGTCCATGTGTAAGTGGGTGTTGTTGTTCAGGGGCGGATCCAGAGATCTCTACAGGGGGGTTCCGGTTGAGCCAAAATTGAACAGCCGAAATATTATGGAATCAGATGTGCGGTTGACACTTGTAAAATAACGACAATCCGATTGTGTTAGTGGAATCGCATGCTTTTAAAACACACTACGGACATAATAATATTTTTCCATCATCGACCACACCACAACTGCGCTCTCCAGCCGGCCTCGACACGTTGCCACAGCACACCACCATCGCTGGAGACTGAGTCGGAGCGCAGTTGTGGTGTGGTGGACGATGGAAAACCTGTGTACAGGGCCAAATGCTGCTGCTTACCCTACATTGTAAAATAATTTACTACCAACACATAATCATATACATGTATGCACTCGACTGGCACACAGGTTCAGTGAGGGCTTGAAGACCCTTTCAACTTCTTGTAAAGATCGAATAATTATGCAGGCCATGGGTACGTTGAGAGCCAGGAATGCCGAAATGACAACTAAGTTACTTTCCCTGTCCATTTGTACTTTCGGAAATTTTTGGCATTTTTACGATGCGAAATGCTCTATAGTCACAGGACAAGAGCATCGTCTTCACTTCAGTGACAGAAACAACAACAGCGAAACCGTGTCGACGGGGCACAATCCTTTCAAGGTCATCTAAAACACAT